ACAGGAAGTCTATATGGAAGACAGGATGTAATGTCAAGGACACAGGAAGTACAGAGGAGACGTTGGTGGAAGTGGCAGCAGAGGAGGTAATAAGATGTTATGTTCTATTTACAACCATTAACCCCCCGTCACGTCCATCCTCTTCCTCCATAGTCACATCCGTCCTCTTCCTCCATAGTCACGTCCGTCCTCTTCCTCCATAGTCACGTCCGTCCTCTTCCTCCATGGTCACGTCCGTCCTCTTCCTCCATGGTCACGTCCGTCCTCTTCCTCCATGGTCACGTCCGTCCTCTTCCTCCATGGTCACGTCCGTCCTCTTCCTCCATAGTCACGTCCGTCCTCTTCCTCCATAGTCAGTCACGTCTGTCCTCTTCCTCCATAGTCACGTCCGTCCTCTTCCTCCATAGTCAGTCAACGTCTGTCCTCTTCCTCCATAGTCACGTCCGTCCTCTTCCTCCATGGTCACGTCCGTCCTCTTCCTCCATGGTCACGTCCGTCCTCTTCCTCCATGGTCACGTCCGTCCTCTTCCTCCATGGTCACGTCCGTCCTCTTCCTCCATGGTCACGTCCGTCCTCTTCCTCCATAGTTATTTCTGTCCTCTTCCTTCATAGTAACGTCCGTCCTCTTCCTCCATGGTCACGTCCGTCCTCTTCCTCCATGGTCACGTCCGTCCTCTTCCTCCATGGTCACGTCCGTCCTCTTCCTCCATGGTCACGTCCGTCCCCTTCCTCCATGGTCACGTCCGTCCTCTTCCTCCATGGTCACGTCCGTCCTCTTCCTCCATAGTCATTTCTGTCCTCTTCCTCCATGGTCACGTCCGTCCTCTCACGTCCTCCATGGTCACGTCCGTCCTCTTCCTCCATGGTCACGTCCGTCCCGTCCCCTTCACTCCGTCCCCTTGGTCACGTCCGTCCCCTTCCTCCATGGTCACGTCCGTCCCCTTCCTCCATGGTCACGTCCGTCCTCTTCCTCCATGGTCACGTCCGTCCTCTTCCTCCATGGTCACGTCCGTCCTCTTCCTCCATAGTCATTTCTGTCCTCTTCCTCACGTCCGTCCTCTTCCTCCATGGTCACGTCCGTCCTCTTCCTCCATGGTCACGTCCGTCCTCTTCCTCCATGGTCACGTCCGTCCTCTTCCTCCATGGTCACGTCCGTCCTCTTCCTCCATGGTCACGTCCGTCCTCTTCCTCCATGGTCACGTCCGTCCTCTTCCTCCATGGTCACGTCCGTCCCTCTTCCTCCATGGTCACGTCCGTCCCCTTCCTCCATGGTCACGTCCGTCCCCTTCCTCCATGGTCACGTCCGTCCCCTTCCTCCATGGTCACGTCCGTCCCCTTCCTCCATGGTCACGTCCGTCCCCTTCCTCCATGGTCACGTCCGTCCTCCATGGTCACGTCCGTCCTCTTCCTCCATGGTCACGTCCGTCCTCTTCCTCCATGGTCACGTCCGTCCTCTTCCTCCATAGTCACGTCCGTCCTCTTCCTCCATAGTCACGTCCGTCCTCTTCCTCCATAGTCACGTCCGTCCTCTTCCTCCATAGTCACGTCCGTCCTCTTCCTCCATAGTCACGTCCGTCCTTTTCCTCCATAGTCACGTCCGTCCTCTTCCTCCATAGTCATGTCCGTCCTCTTCCTCCATAGTCACTGTGACATCTTTTATCTCCAGCAGATGATGATACACACATATATAGTGTGGGAACCCAGATTAACCCCTTCAGGGGCACAACATTCCCCCACTTCTGGGGCCGGAACATTCTCCTCATTGTGGAGAGGTGTCACCTTCTCTCCTTAGCCGTCTCCTGTAATGAGGGATGAGATTCAGATTCGGGTTGGACTGACATTTACACTTCCACACCCTTCCCTTGAAGATCCCAGCCTCCCCCCACACCTGACTACCTCCTCCATGTACCCCGGCTCCTCTGCCCCCCCTGCAGGCCTGGGACTGGCATGGCGGATGGAGTGGAGGGGGATGAGTTCTCGGATCTCCCCTCCGGTTAGGAACATTTCATGACTTCCAGGCTCAGAGCTGTCCTTCCCCGGTCACTGTGGTCAGGGAAGGAGAGGAGGAATCCCCATCTGTACTGATCACCTTCACTGGGGTCCATAGGTGATGATGGAGGTCTAATAGAGCCCTGGGGTCTCCATAAAGAGGACCTGTCATTTCTCCTGTGATGTCACATAGAGGGTTCCTGACATGGGATGGTCACACCCCGGAGGGGGAGCAATCATTCTGGGGCCGTTATTCCCCACTAACTCTAATCTGATGACCTGTAAAATCATTTATAGCCATGTCTTTGCAGCATGTTGTGTAGGGAACATAGTCGCCATTTCATGGGGGGACACAAGTGTCACGGCTGACACCATTTAGTGTGGGGGAGGGGTTGGGTTTATTATGAGCAAAAAATGCTGATTTTACCGCGTGTGAAAAATGTAAAGTCCGTATCCGGGGAAAGGAAATGATGGAGATCTGGGGGCTAATTCACCCCAGAATATGGGGGATCTGCGTTCTGTGCACGTTTCCTGCACCACGTTCTAAACGCACTGCACTTGTAGTCTGTTGTGGGTGTCAGTACAGTGCTGATGACATCACAGACTCAGGGTGTCAGTACAATGCTGATGACACCACAGACGCAGGGTGTCGGTACAATGCTGATGACACCACAGAAGCAGGGTGTCAGTACAATGCTGATGACACCGCAGACTCAGGGTGTCAGTACAATGCTGATGACACCACAGACGCAGGGTGTCAGTACAATGCTGATGACACCACAGAAGCAGGGTGTCAGTACAATGCTGATGACACCGCAGACTCAGTGTCAGTACAATGCTGATGACACCGCAGACGCAGGGTGTCGGTACAATGCTGATGACACCGCAGACGCAGGGTGACAGTACAATGCTGATGACACCGCAGACGCACCTAGGGTGTCAGTACAATGCTGATGACACCGCAGACGCAGGGTGACAGTACAATGCTGATGACATTACAGACGCAGGGTGTCAGTGCAATGCTGATGACACCACAGACGCAGGGTGTCAGTACAATGCTGATGACACCACAGACGCAGGGTGTCAGTACAATGCTGATGACACCACAGACGCAGGGTGACAGTACAATGCTGATGACACCACAGACGCAGGGTGTCAGTACAATGCTGATGACACCACAGACGCAGGGTGTCAGTACAATGCTGATGACACCACAGACGCAGGGTGTCAGTACAATGCTGATGACACCACAGACGCAGGTGACAAATGCGGTGCGTTTGCCTGCACTGGATGGTATGGTACAGAAGGGTTTTGTAGAGTAGTACATGCACTCCTGCTGCGCTCCGCCTCACTTTCAGCCCATTCAAAGGAATCCAGTGAAATCGCACTGCAACCGGATATGTGAATCGCACAGGAATGCACAGTGCATTGCGCCATTCATGGTGTCACCCGCCTCTTGATGAACATTTATGACCCGGATCATATGTGAATCACACAGGAACGCACAGCGCATTGCGCCATTCATGGTGTCACCCGCCTCTGGATGAACATTTAACCCTCGCATAACAGAAGCCCCCCAACTCCAAGAGGTAAATGGCAGTTTAGGTGCAGGGGACCAGGAAAAGCTCTTTGATATATCTGATCCTCTGCTCCCCCGGCTGTCAGCACTCTCCTCTACTCCCCTACACTCTGGCAGTGGACTGTCCCTCTTCCTGTCCAGTGAGGGGCTATGGGCTCTGCATTGGTCTTGATGACATCAGAGAACCTGCAACCAACAGAGTATAGGGGAGGAGAGGCTGCATGGACCGGTTGTACAACCCAGAGGAGCCTGCGGGAGGAGAGGATCTGGTGTGTAAAATTGTCCAATATTCTGGTTGTGTTGAGTCATAGGGGGCTATTGTCATGGGGGCTTAGATATGTATGGGGGAGGGGAATGGGGAGTCTGTACGCCTTTTGGGGGGAATTTTGTATTTTATTAGGGAGTGATGATGGAGTTTTACTGTTTGCCTCAATAAATGATGAGACGACACGGCTGTTCTGTGACCATTTATTATGTATAATGTCATGTGAGATCATCACCGAACGGTTTCTGTCCGGAGTCGTCTATCCAGGCAGGATGGGATTTGATTTTCATTATCATTTTTGAACTGTTCGACCCAAGACCATTGTGAAGGAGTTGGAGATGATTGGTCACTTATTCAGCTATTCTTCATCCACCTGTGTGTGCTGTGGCTGCATTAGATGGTCGGTGTACCCTGCTTTTACGGTTGCAAGAAAAAGTATGTGAACCCCTTGGGATTACGTGGAGTTTTGCATAAATTGGGCATAAAATGTGCTCTGAACGTCATCTAAGTCACAACAATAGAAGAACACAGTCTGCTGAACATAATACTACACAAACATTAGATGTTGCCATGGTTTAATTGCACATAACATGTAAACATTCACAGTGCAGGGAGGAAAAAGTATGTGAGGCCCTAGCTTAATGACTTCTCCCAGAGCTAATTGGAGCCAGGAGTGAGCCAACCTTGACTCCAATCAGTGTGATGATATTGGATGTGTTGCTGACAGCTGTCCTGCCCTTAAAAAACACGCACCTGTTTTGGGTTTACTGGTTCAAGAAGTACTGTCTGATGTGAACCATGCCTCGCAGAAAAGAGCTCTCAGAAGACCTACGATCAAGAATTGTTGACTTGCATGAAGCTGGAAAGGGTTACAAAAGTGTCAGGGCTCCCAGGTATGACCAGAGGTGTGTGACTGAAGCAGGGAAACGCAGACCTCAGATATGTTATAAACAATATAATTTATTAACACTAACAGTACAAACATAAACGCAGTGCAATACTAAAACGTAATACGGTGCAAACAAACCAAACCAAACCACCCACAGATAACAGTACATACAAGCAAGCGTCGTCAGGCAGGCCGGGTCAATATCAATTGGGCAGGTAGGTACAGGGGGAGCAAGCGGAGAATGGTCGGGGTCACAGGCCAGGTTCAGCAGGTAGCAAGCAGCATAGTACAGAGGGTCAGGCAGAGGGATGGTCCGGGTCACAAGCCAGGGATCAGAACAGGTAGCAAGCAGCGTAGTACAGAGGGTCAGACAGAGGGATGGTCAGGGTCACAAGCCAGGATCAGAGCAGGAGAAGTCAGCAAAGGAACAGAAACAGGATGCAGGACAGATACAGGGCCTAGGACAAACACAACACCAAGGCAGAGTCTGCAAGTCTGGCCATCCCTTAAATACACCAGTATCATCAGTTCCAGGTGTTAGCTGGCTGAAAGGTTGAGTCTCTGATTGCTGGGAGCACCCGCTGGCCAGCCCTGGTACTGCAGATCAAAAGGCAGGTGAGTCCCACCATTGCTGGCCAGTCCATTCCTAACAAAAGTATCTCCAAAAGCCTTGATGTTCATGTGTCCACGGTAAGACAGACTGTCTACAAATGGAGAAAGTTTAGCACTGTTGCTACTCTCCCTAGGCGTGGTCGTCCTGTAAAAATGACTGCAAGAGCAGAGCGCAGAATGCTGCATGAGGTAAAGAAGAATCCCAGAGTGTCAGCTATAGACCTACAGAAATCTCTGGCACATGCTAACATTTTTGTTGACGCATCTACAATAAGGAAAACATTAAACAAGAATGGAGTACATGGGAGGACACCACGGAGGAAGCCATTGTTGTCCAAAAAGAATATTGCAGCACGTTTGAAGTTTGCAAAAGAGCCCCTGGATGTTCCACAGCACTACTGGCAAAATATACTGTGGACAGATGAAACCAAGATTGAGTTGTTTGGGAAGAACACACACTATGTGTGGAGAAAAAAAGGCACAGCACACCAACATCAAAACCTCATCCCCACTGTGAAACATGGCGGAGGGAGCATCATGGTTTGGGGCTGCTTTGCTGCCTCAGGGCCTGGACGGATTGTTGTCATTGATGGGAAAATGAATTCCAGAGTTTATCAAGACATTTTGCAGGAAAACGTACGACCATCTGTCCGCCAACTGAAGCTCCGCAGAGGATGGGTGATGCAACAGGACAATGATCCAAAGCATACAAGTAATTCAACAAAACAATGGCTGCAACAGCACAGAATACGTCTTCTGGAGTGGCCCAGTCAGAGTCCTGACCTCAACCCGATTGAAATGCTGTGACATGACCTTAAGAGAGCGATTCACACCAGACATCCCAAGAATATTGCTACACTGAAACAGTTTTGTGAAGAGGAGTGGTCCAAAATGACTCCAGATCGTTGTGCAGGTCTGATCTGCAACTACAGGAAACGTTTGGTTGAGGTTATTGCTGCCAAAGGAGGGTCAATCAGTTATTAAGTCCAAAGGTTCACATACTTTTTCCTCCCTGCACTGTGAATGTTTACATGTTATGTGCAATTAACCAATTCAATACCGTGCAATTTTCCCCCTTCCTGCCCAGGCCAGTTTTCAGGTTTCAGCGCTCTCACACTTTGAATGACAATTGTGCGGTCATACAACATTGTACCCAAACTAAAATTTTTATCATTTTCTTCACACAACTAGAGCTTTCTTTTGGTGGTATTTAATCACCGCTGGGGTTTTTTATTTTTTGCTAAATTAACAAAAAAAAGACCAAAAATTTTGAAAAAAAAACACGTTTTTCTTTGTTTCTGTTATAAAAGTTTACAAATAAATAATTGTTCTTCATAAATTTAGGCCGAGATGTATTCTGCTACATGTCTTTGGTGAAAATAACCCAAATTAGGATGTATTATTTAGTTTGTAGGAAAGTTATAGAGTTCACAAACTATGGTATAGATCTGAAAATTGATCAATCCTGAAGTACTGACGGCCAATCTAATTTCTTGAGGTCCAAGAATGTCAGGACAGTACAGATATCCCCCAAATGTCAGAACAGTACAGATATCCCCCAAATGACCCCTTTTTGCAGAGTAGACAGTCCGACGTACTTCATAAGAGGCATGGCGAGTTTTTTGAAGTTGTGTTTTTTTTTGTCATAATTTTTCGGAAAATGAAAAAATTAAAAAAATTATTTTCACAATTTTTTTTTTTACATACTGTCACCAGTGCAGTACAGCGTCATCATATAACTGGCATGGCTGTGAACAGGGACACTGACTGGTGACAGTATGAAAAAAAAAAATATATTTTTTTTATTTTTTTTTTATTTTTTATTACATTTTTTTTTTTTTTTTTTAAGATTTTTTTTTCAGATTTTACTATGACCAAAGTAGTACAATGTTACCATAGTAACATTGTACTACTTTGGGGAAGTGGTCAGTATTTTTTTTTTTACACAATTTGCTTATAGCAAAGAATTACTTTGCTATAAGCAAGCATTTACCTGAATGAAATTGATTCATTCAGTTTTTTTTTTTTTTTGTGCTTAGCTGTGATTTGGCCACAGATAATCACATGACATGTGCATGTGACCTGCTGTGACCATTCACAGCTAGGCACTAGTATACAATGGATGGCATGAATGAAGCCATCCATTGTATACAACTGTCATGTGACCTGCTGTGATTGGTCACAGCAGGTCACATGGTACCAGCAACGGGAGTCCGAGGTACACGGCCGGTGACAGATCGCGCTGCTGCGCCGCTCTGCAGTTGCGCGAACTGAGCATGTGCGGGAGCACGCCAAATGGCGTGCACCCGGAATGCAGAAGCACTTTTGCCGCCGCCAAACGGCCATTGGCCGGGCGGCAAATGGTTAAACCATGGCAACATCTAATGTTTGTGTAGTATTATGTTCAGCAGACTGTGTTCTTCTATTGTTTGTGACTTAGATGACGTTCAGAGCACATTTTATGCCCAATTCATGCAAAACTCCACGTTATCCCAAGGGGTTCACATACTTTTTCTTGCAACTGTACTTTATACAGCCCTACTACCATTATGACTCACAGCAACTGCTGTCCACCTACTGTCTCCTCATGTAGCAACTGCTCTCCCCCTACTGTCTCCCCATGCAGCAGCTGCTTTCCCCCTACTGTCTCCCCGTGCAGCAGCTGCTCTCCCCCTACTGTCTCCCCGTGCAGCAACTGCTCTCCCCCCACTGTCTCCCCGTGCAGCAACTGCTCTCCCCCCACTGTCTCCTCGTGCAGCAACTGCTCTCCCCCCACTGTCTCCCCGTGCAGCAACTGCTCTCCCCCCACTGTCTCCCCGTGCAGCAACTGCTCTCCCCCCCACTGTCTCCCCGTGCAGCAACTGCTCTCCCCCCCAGCACTGTCTCCCCCCCCCTGTGCAGCAAGCTGCTCTCCCCCCACTGTCTCCCCGTGCAGCAACTGCTCTCCCCCCACTGTCTCCCCGTGCAGCAACTGCTCTCCCCCCACTGTCTCCCCGTGCAGCAACTGCTCTCCCCCCACTGTCTCCCCGTGCAGCAACTGCTCTCCCCCCACTGTCTCCCCGTGCAGCAACTGCTCTCCCCCCACTGTCCCCCGTGCAGCAACTGCTCCTCCCCTACTATCTCCCCATGCAGCAACTGTTCTCCTCCCACTATCTCCACGTGCAGCAACTGCTCTCTTCCTACTATCTCCCTCTACAGCAACTGCTCTCCCCCTATTATATCCCTGTGCAGCAACTGCTCTCCCTCTACTATTTCCCCATGCAGCAACTACTCTCCACCTACTATCTCCCCATGCAGTAACTGCTCTCCCCCTACTATCTCCCTGTGCAGCAGCTGCTCTCCCCCCACTGTCTCCCTGTACAGCAAATCCACCTCTCACATGAGGTCTCTATCTTTGTAGTATTTTGATGGAGGTGAATGGAAAGCCTGGCTTGTATTTATACTATAGTGATGGGGGAGGTGTAGAGTTTTTATTGCTCACTGTTTACTGTATGGTGATGACGGGCTGCATACGCCCACTTTTCACCAACATGTATATGCTGCACACCCATTAGTTGTAGTTATTTGTTATTCCCTCTAGTGTTCTCCAGAATTGTTACATCGTATCTATGGTTACAAAGACATATTATTTCTAGTGACCTCAATGAGGTATTTTACTACTGCATAGAATAAAATAATATTTATTAGAAAGGAAAACTTGATGAATGATTATACAAATGTTGTTTATACATAGATCTTCTAAGAAACCCAGTCTTGTGCTAATTCCCACTGGAGGCATTCTTACTTTTTACCACTTATATTCCCCTCCTAATATTGTACAACCAATACAGTCCAGATAATCCTCTGTTAACCATCTCTAGAGACACCCCATATAGATCACATGACCACACCAATGAGGATGGAGGAGGACCGGAGTCACATGACTGAGAGGATACTAAACCTCACCCTGGAGATCATCTACCTGCTGACTGGAGAGGTGAGGAGGATTCTGGGAGGTCACATGACATCACTCTTATCTCTATTAATAAAACACAGACCTGACCGGAGAGGTGAGGAGGATTCTGGGAGGTCACATGACATCACTCTTATCTCTATTAATAAAAACACAGACCTGACCGGAGAGGTGAAGAGGATTCTGGGAGTCTAACATGATATTCCTATTGGTTCCTCAATACAGAGATTTCCTGTTCCGAAGTCAGGTGATCCTATGACCATCACAGTGCCTCCATGTGACTCCCTAAACCCTGAGAGACACAACATGCAGAAGATTCTAGAAGTCACCAAGAAGATGATGGAGCTGCTGACAGGAGAGGTGAGCGGTGCCGGGAATTCTGGGACATTCTCCAGTAACAGACAAGGGATGTGTCTGGATGGTGACTGTATCATTGTGTGTGTCAGGTTCCTATAAGGTGTCAGGGTGTCACTGTCTATTTCTCCATGGAGGAGTGGGAGTATTTAGAAGGACACAAGGATCTCTACAAGGACGTCATGATGGACAATCAGCCGCCCCTCACATCACCGGGTAAGAGGAGACTTTATTGTAAAGGAGAGAGCAGTACGGAGGATCCACCTAGATCCCCCATCATCTGATAAACACATAGAAACAATGGATTCAGTCAGTGTGTGTGTGTTTCCTACAGATGGATCCAGTCATGGGAACCCACCAGAGAGATGTCCCCGTCCTCTGTATTCCCGGGATTCCACACAGGAAGGTCACACCATCCCTCACCATCATCAGGTAGATGATGACAATTATTGGTAGTTGTGATTTATACACAGCATGTTTGTTACAATGAATGTTTTATTATATCTTTCAGAGTGGAATCCTCGGGGATGATAATATTGATGTTAAAGAAGAGTATAAAGAGGAGGATGAGGAGTATGGAGTGATGGAGGAGTTTTCAGAAGGACACAAGGATGTGATGGAGCCACCTAATACCAGGAACCCACCAGAGAGATGTCCCCGTCCTCTGTATTCCCGGGATTCCACACAGGAAGGTCACACCATCCCTCACTGTTACAAGGTTGGTGGGATGGAGCATCTAGAACATGGACTCATGAGATAATGTGTGGATATTTTATGTGACCTTATTTTTTTACAGATGATATTTTCTCTCATTTCCTTGATTTAGAGTGGAGATCCAATCGATATAGAATTTGAGGTGAAAGCAGAAGAAGAAGAGGCGTATGTGAGGGATGATCAGCAGTCTATGGAGGAGGATGGAATAACGGGGACATTTATAGAGGAGGACACTCCTACAGAGATCAGCACAGGTGGGGTCATGAACACTAAATTCATTCCTCCACCCATACTGCTCACTGATTGGTCCAGAGTAGGGCGGGGACTGGGTGATATCAGCCTGTAATCCCCTGGTCACTTTCCTGAGCTGTGTTCCCCGTCCTGTATTCCTGGATTTCTCTCTGAAATAAGAGTCCTGACCTTACACTGTATAATATTGTAATTTATATTGTACATTACATACTCCTGGCCCCTGCAGCTTTCCACCCTGGAGGACATTTACAGGAAAACGCTGTGTACAATGGGTGAGGGTTATCATTAATGATGCCTCTCTCCCTAACCATGGACTGTTCATACTCCTTCCATCGAGCAAACAATACAGGTGTCTCAGAGCTCGTACAAATAGACTGAAAAATAGTTTTTTCCTAATCATTAGACAATATTACATTACTGTATATTTCATCCATTAATGCATTACTCATTGCACCGATTATAGGATTACTGTATATCCCACAATCCGATTTTATTATACTGTTATTTATTGTAAATGGGACATTTTTGCACTTCTGGCTGGATACTAACTGCATTTCATTAGCTCTGTACATGTACTTTGCACAATGACAATATAGTTGAATCTAATCTAATATACTCCATGTTGTACATTACGCACTCATGACTCCTGCACTATATACTCTATGTTGTACATTACATCCTCCTGACCCCTGCACTATATACTCCATGTTGTACATTACATCCTCCTGACCCCTGCACTATATACTCCATGTTGTACATTACATACTCCTGACCCCTGCACTATATACTCTCCTGACCCCTGTTGTACATTACATACTCCTGACCCTTGCGCTACTCTATGTTGTACATTACATACTCCTGACCCCTGCACTATATATACTACTCTATGTTGTACATTACATACTACTGACTGACCCCCTGCACTATATACTCTATGTTGTACATTACATACTCCTGACCCCTGCACTATATACTCTATGTTGTACATTACATACTCCTGACCCCTGCACTATATACTCTATGTTGTACATTACATACTCCTGACCCCTGCACTATATACTCTATGTTGTACATTACATACTCCTGACCCCTGCACTATATATTCTATGTTGTACATTACATACTCCCTGACCCCTGCACTATATACTACTCTATGTTGTACATTACATACTCCTGACCCCTGCACTATATACTCTATGTTGTACATTACACACTCCTGACCCCTGCACTATATACTCTATGTTTTACATTACATACACTCCTGACCCCTGCACTATATACTCTATGTTTTACATTACACACTCCTGACCCCTGCACTATATACTCTGTGTTGTACATTACACACTCCTGACCCCTGCACTATATACTCTGTGTTGTACATTACACACTCCTGACCCCTGCACTATATACTCTGTGTTGTACATTACACACTCCTGACCCCTGCACTATATACTCTGTGTTGTACATTACACACTCCTGACCCCTGCCCTATATATTCTGTGTTGTACATTACATCATTCTGATACTATACAGTCCTAACTGTTGTTTCCTATACAATAAGTTGTACATTACATTGGCCTTACTTATTTTGCTCCCATTTCCTCCCAGCTGGACATTTTATATCGGACGATGTGATTGGAGCACAGACTTTTACATGGTGATAATGATTAGAGATGAGCGAATCGAACATGACGAAGTGGAATTCGTTTCGAAGATTAGGAAAAATTTGATTCGCGACGAATCCGAAAATTAGCAAACTTCGGATGCACGAATCGAAATTTTCCAAAAATGGCGGCGACATGTGTGGCGACGGAGCAGGGATCTCTGGGAAGGCGCGCAGACAAGGCGCGCTGACCCATAATGCATTCATTCATGACATGTGATCGCATTAGCCAATCAGCAGCCAGCCAGCCAGCACTGTGTAATGGTGGAGCTATAAATCGCGGCCATCTTAGAATTCTCCATTAGCCTCCAGTCATTCAAGAGAGACAGACCTCTGTGTATTAGGGACAGAGTTAGGGCCACAGAGACTTTAGGGCCACAGAATCGTTACTCAGGGCCACAGAATCGAATTTACTCAGGGACACAGAATCGTTACTCAGGGACACAGAATTGTTACTCAGGGACACAGAATCGTTACTCAGGGACAGACACAGAATTGTTACTCAGGGACACAGAATTGTTACTCAGGGACACAGAATTGTTACTCAGGGACACAGAATTGTTACTCAGGGACACAGAATCGTTACTGAGGGACACAGAATCGTTACTCAGGGACACAGAATCGTTACTCAGGGACACAGAATCGTTACTCAGGGACACAGAATCGCTACTCAGGGACACAGAATTGTTACTCAGGGACACAGAATCGTTACTTTCTGCTTCACAACCACTATTGTACGTTCAAAGAGTTAAATCCGGTTTTATTTTTGGGGTGCTTATTGAATTAAATAGTATGTCAGACAACACGCAGAGGAGTGGCAGAGGAGGCAATGCTTCAGGAGCGAGCAGACGTGGCAGCAGAGGAAGGGGTCGAGGCAGCACTAGTCGCAGCCAGAGGCCAGTGCTCCCGGTGTCATCCAGCGGTCGTGTCTCCACCGACAACCCTGCCGTCATCGTTTGGTTGACTCGGTCGTCTTCCTCTTCCCAGGTCACCTCTGACACCTACAGCCAACGGTCGGTGGGTACGTCAGACACAACCGTTAGTTGGCATGGCCCGGGAGCAAGCCCACACTGAAATCACGTGTCCTCTACCTGCCCCTGTCCTTTGGTGTTCCCTCACCAAGCGAAGTATCGCATGCTGTGGGCTCAGCCCCACTGTACAGTGAGGAAGAGCTAACAGAGGGCGGTCAGGAACGGGGGGAGACATCGGCCTCTTCAGCAGCCAGGCGAAGAAGTACTGGCGAGGAGAGTGGCTCGGTAGCCGGTCTAGAGACAGGTCTGTCTCCTGACCCACACGCAGCCGAGGGGGCTAGTAGTGAGGCGGAGACCCTAATTGATGATGATGAGGCTGATCGCACTTAGCAGCCTCGTCGTCATCAGGCTATTGCTTCCGCATCATCAGGAGAAGAGGGTGCCAGCTTGGCAGCGAGCAAAACAGTCGGTGGGTTGCCCAGGAGGCAGCAGGGTCGCAGCAGTGTCAGTGGAGGCAAACGGCCACGGAGTAGAGCACCAGCTCCACTGCAGCCTACCACCACGGCCAGTAGTGGTGCCGGTGTGCACGGAGGAAGTAGCAGTCAGCCAGTGAGGAGTAGCGGGGGCAAAGTTTCCTACTCGGCGGGTGTGGCAATTTTTCGTCAAGCCGCCCGAGGAAGTAAACGTAGCCGTATGTCGACTATGTGGCCAGAAAGTCAAGCGTGGCCAGGGGGCCCATGTTGGGACTACAGCGTTGCATCAGCATATGCAGCGTCGCCATTCGGTGGCCTGGGAAAACCGTGATAAAGATACGGCGGTTTTGCCTGCCCCAGCCCCCGCTCCATCACCCGCTCCGTTACTTGCTCCGTCACCCGACGTCAATCGCCCTCTATCAGCCAGTCAAGGCTCCAACACCTCTGCTGAGGGGAGTTGTCGCTCGTTGGCATCTTCCGCTCGTTCAGATGCTCCTTCTCCTGCTACTCCTCTTCACGGATTCCGTCAGCAGTCTTTCTTGGAATCCGTTCCAAGAGACAACAGTTTGCGAGCACGCACCCGACGGTGCAGAAGCTGAACGTCCTCCTGTCCAAGTTGCTGGTGCTGCAGTCCCTCCCTTTCCAAGTGGTGGACTCAGCACCTTTCCGAGAAATGATGGCTTGTGCCGCGCCGCGGTGGAGAGTGCCAAGCCGGCATTTTTTCGCCAAAAAGGCAGTGCCAGCCCTGCATTCACATGTAGAAGAGATGGTGGGCCAGTCTTTGAGCATGTCGGTCTCTGCCAAAGTGCACGGCAGCGCCGACGTGTGGAGCTGTAACTACGGTCAGGGACAGTACATGTCATTTACGACCCACTGGGTGAACGTGGTGCCGGCACAGCCGCACCAGCAACTTGGACAGGTCACGCCGCTTTTGCCTCCACGTTTGCACGTCCTTGGTCCAGCAAAGATGTCCGCCTCTACCACCTCTTCTTCCGCCGTGTCCTCAGCCGCCACCCCCGTGCCAAGTCCCATTACCCGACCGGCATATCACATGTGCAGGGCGCAACGGTGTCACGCTGTGCTGCACCTGGTATGCCTTGGCGAACGGTAGTCACACAGGGGAGGAACTTCTGAGTGTAATGAACAGAGAAATCGACAGATGGCTGTCTCCGCGCAAACTGAAAATCGGAACCATGTTGACCGACAACGGAAAGAACATGGTGTCTGCTCTGCGTCAAGGAAGGTTGTGCCATGCGCCATGCATGGCTCACGTGTTCAATCTGGTTGTCAAGCGGTTCCTAAAATCCACCATCCCACTGCAAGACAACCTTAAAATGTCACGTAAACCTTGCATGCATTTCAGCCATTCCTACACCGCAAAGCACACCCTCCTTGAGCTGCAGCGGCAGAACGGAATTCCACAGCATCGCCTGATCTGCGACGTTGCAACAAGGTGGAATTCAACCCTACATATGTTAGACCGCCTTTAAGAACAGCGAAAGGCCATCACCGATTTCCTGATGTTACAAGCGGATAAAGGTACTCTCCTGTGTAACTTCGATGTCAGCCATTGGCAGCTCATGCGTGACACCTGCCGCTTGCTCAGGCCCTTTGAGGAGGCCACGCTATTCGTGAGTGGGCCCTGTGCGCTCGCGTTCCGCTGCCATGGCAGCAGGGGAGGGGTGGGGTGGTAGGAGCAGTGGCAGCTCCACCAGCAGCGGCTGCCTCAGTCTGCAGTCGATGATGAGTAGCTTTCTTCACCAGCGCAGTAAGGAAACTACTAACCAGCCGCAGCAGCAGCAGCATCAGGTGGACCTGGAGCAGGACCTCAAACAACAGGCTTGGGCCTACTTGGACAGCACCCTGCCAACCGAGGTAGACAATCCCCTTGACTACTGGGCAACGAAACTTGACCTTTGGCCCCAACTAGCTGAATTTGCCCTTGAAAGGCTGTCATGCCCGGCCAGTAGCGTGGCATCGGAGCGCGTGTTTAGTGCGGCAGGAGGTATTGTAACTCCGCGGAGGACACGACTGTCCACCCAAAGTGTGGAGAGACTCACGTTTGTGAAAATGAATCAGGCGTGGATTAGTCTGGATTTCAAACCACCAGTTCCTGACACAACTGACTAAATCCGCCATGAATCATGCCCCAAACATGTTATTATTTTTAACATAGGCCTCTGTATGGCCTTCAATTTAAGCTGCTTACGCTTCGCCACTCTGCCATGGGCCCCTGTACCGCCTCCTCTTGCTGCTGCCAGGTCCAGAGTGTGTCATGGGTCCCTGTACGGCCTCCCATTGCTGCTGACTTCATCGCCAGACTCTGCCATGTGCCACTTTCAGGTCTCCTTACACTGTTGGTGGTTCCATTTTGTGATAGGGTGCTGTATGGCCTTCCATTGCTGCTGCCTCCACCACCACCCTGCGCCATGTGCCTCTGTCGTCTGCTCACACTGCTGACGGCTTCCGCTTTTTAACCGAGGCCTGTGTTTGGCTTCCGAATACTGCTGCATCCACCGCCACCCTGCGCCATGTGTCTCTGTCATCTGCTCACGCTGCTGACGGCTTCCGCTTTTTAACCTAGGCCTGTGTATGGCTTCAGAATAATGCTGCCTACACCGCCACCCTGCGCCATGTGCCTCTGTCGTCTGCTCACGCTGCTGCCAGGTCCATACTGATTCATGGCCCCCTGTACCGGCTCCTCATGAACGTGGTTCAGCGGGTTTGCATCACTTAACGGCAAATCGTTGACAAACGCTGGGACGTTCAGTGTTGTGCGCATTAAGCCAGACACCAAAGGGGCAGCACAGACCTGTTATTACTCGCTCAAGCATGGCTGAACAAAACCAGTCTCTACCACCACAAATTGGACCCAGACCTGCCCAGGGTCTCGTAAGTAGATTGCACGGAGGAGTAGAGTTCGTTATTGGAATTAACTGTGAGGGACTTTTAAACCTAGGCCTGTGTATGGCCTTCAATTGAAGCTGCTTCTGCTCCGCCACTCTGCCATTGGACTCTTGATAGTCGTCTCCCCACGCTGCTGCTGGGGGGACTTTTTAACATAGGCCTCTGTATGGCCTTCAATTTTAGCTGCTTACGCTCCGCCACTCTGCCATGGGTACCGCCCCTCCTGCTGCCAGGCCCGTAATCTGCGACGTACCGACTCCTCATGCTGCTGCCAGGCCCGTAATCTGTCATGGGCCCCTGTACCGCCCTCCTCATGCTGCTGCCAGGTCCAGAGTCTCTCATGGGTCCCTGTACGGCCTCCCATTGCTGCTGTCTCCATCGCCACACTCTGCCATGTGCCACTTTCAGGTCTCCTCACACTGCTGGTGGGTTCCATTTTGTCATAGGGTGCTGTATGGCCTCCCATTGCTGCTGCCTCCACCGCCACACTGTGGCTCCACACTCTGGTTTTGGCCCCGTGACTGCCCAAATGAGTGAAGTGTGCGGTGATTCTAAGATCGACGGCACTCATCTGCATGTCATACTGACTGACAGTATTATTTCTCTTTCCCCAGCAGACTCCAAGGGCATTTAAATTAAGGTACAGTGTTCTGCACTAATATAAAGGCTCTCTGAAGCCTAGAAACACCCTTTTATAAGTTAAATTCGCAGCGAATATATTCGCATCGAATCGAATTTATTCCGCGAATTCGGCGAATCAGCCGAATCGAATTTTTGAATAATTCGCTCATCTCTAATAATGATGTGATGTAGCCCCCTCCTGGTCAGGTCTAGGATGTGTAGAGTCAGGTAAAGCATAGCTGTGTTTCTCTGCTCACCAGAGAGGCTGTCAGGTAAATTCAGTCGGTATTCTGCTTTACAGAGAGCTGTGATTGATTAGTCAGGTCTGCTCATGCTGCTCTGGTGTTGTTGGAGTTTGTCTGAGTTCTGCCCGCCTTCAGGAAGCTATGAGAGTCTTCCAGAACATAGGAAGGGGCTACACAAATGACCAGCATGAATATGGATACAGCCCTGGCCAATCGCAGGGAAGGCCATCACATTGCATGCTGGGAGTGGTATTTATATTCTGAGAGCACAAGGGTTCAGGGTCTTTCCTGGGAGTGGATTGCACCAGCCAGGCTAGAGGCAGACTGCCACACCTGACACTTGCTGCCATGTGACCTCAGGTGGGTGACCTGAGGGTTTTTACTAGTTCCCTTGAGGGTGGAATTGTAAGCTCCTCAGAGACCAAGCTGCCTGATGTGGGCGGAGTCCTGGTTTGGGGGAACCAATCAGCTCCTGTCTAGTAATCTTCTTTGTCTTTGTATTTTAGTCCATGGCCGGGAGATGAGGAAAACCTCTGAGGATTGTCTCACATTGTCTCCAGACTGGAAAGTAGAAGATGAGGACATCACACAGTATAGTCCAGGAGAAAACCCGGCTCCCTCCAATGTCCATCCGGCACCACCCAGTGTAGATGGACCATCGGATTCCTCGTATCCTGAGGAACCTCAGACTGTGCGAGACCGGGCCGGCCTTCCAACAAGGAAGAGCTTCTCTTGTACTGAGTGCGGGAAATGTTTCCATTTTAAATCCCGTCTTAACACCCATACAAGATCTCACACAGGGGAGAAGCCTCATTCTTGTGCTGAGTGCGGGAAATGTTTTGACTCCAAATCACATCTTAATTTCCATAAAAAATGTCACACAGTGGAAAAGCCACATTCCTGTTCTGAGTGCGGGAAATGTTTCCATTTTAAACATGTTCTTAATGTGCACAAAAGAACTCACACAGGGGAGAAGCCATTTTCCTGCCCTCAGTGCAAAAAATGTTTTTCACAAAAATCCCATCTACAACTACATCATACAACATACCACACAGGCGAGAAGCCATATTCCTGTCCTGAGTGCGAGAAATATTTTGTACAAAAATCACATCTTGTCAAACATCTGAGAGTTCACACAGGAGAAAAACCGTATATCTGTACTGAGTGCGGAAAATGTTTTTCAGACAAGTCCTTTTATCACAAACATCAAAGACTGCACACGGGGGAAAAACTATATTACTGTCCTGAGTGTGGGAAATGTTTTGTAGAAAAATCAAAACTTGTCAGACATCAGAAGTCTCATACAGTTGAAAAGCCATATTCCTGTCCTGAGTGCGGGACATCTTTTTCAGAGAAGTCCAGTCTTTGCAGACATCAGAGATCTCACACGGGGGAGAAGCCTTATTCCTGTCCTGAGTGCGGGAAATACTTTTCACATAAGTCCAGTCTTTACACACATCAGAGATTGCACACAGGTGAGAAGCCATATTCTTGTCCTGAGTGTGGGAAATGTTTTGTAGATAACTCAACACTTGTCAGACATAAGAGGTCTCATGCAGGTGAAAAGCCATATTCCTGTCCTGAGTGCGGGAAATGTTTTTCAGACAAGTCCAATCTTTCCAGACACCAGCGATCTCACACAGAAAAGAAGCCACTTTCCTGTCCTGAGTGAGGGAAATGTTCCTCACTGAAGTCCTGTCTTCCTGTACATCAGGGGTCCCACACAACCCTGGAGGTGTATTGCTGCCTTGAGTGAGGGAAATGTCTTCTAGATGAATGTTGCTGGACATCCCAGCTCTCATGTGGGGAAGAAGCACACCCTGATATACTCCTCAGATATACTTCATGGCTGATCTTCATCATGGAAGAAACAGTTCATAAGGAGATCAGAGGTCACCAAAGACATGGATGAAGTGTGGGATCGGATTGGCCATTGATGGCAGGAGAATAATAAAAATGGAGTCCTGCCCTGTCATTGGCTGAGTACATTTTGTGGTGGGAGATTTCACAAACACTTGGAGGTGTGATTTGTAAACAATGTATTGGACAGATGTGAGCGGTGCTGGCCCAGCTGTGACGAATATCGGTGGTATTGTATTCATTCAGTGATGACATTAAGTATCATAGGAATTCGTCATCTAGAAGCTGAAAGTCGTTATTTCTCAGGATTTTTTTTCTTGTCATTATAAATTATTAAAGCAGCTCAGCAAACAGCCTAATAGCATTTGTTTGTGGCCCCCCATTCCCAGAGACGGAACGTACACGGGCCATCACCGGGGGGATTGCAGGGCAAAGCTTTGATGAAGAGACCCCTAAATGTCAGGAGACTTTGATTGAAGGAGGGGAAGTATGTAGCAGCTGAATGAAGAGACCTCCTAGCAATGTCATTCCCAGGCTGCAGCTAGGGGGAGCTCTCCTGTTTAGAGCAGGGTTGGGTCATTCATTCTCCCAAGAGGCCACAATCTGGGACGGTTGTGGAGGACAAACTGAATTCTTCTGAATAGTCATTTTGGACCAGGGAAGGTGGGTAAGTATGTAAACATATAGAAAACAAACACCTGGCACTGGGAATAATAGGTACCACTGCCACAGTTTTTCTGCCCTCAAACTGTAAAATAACAGCTGGATGGGGCTATTAACAGGCCGCGTCTGCAGCATTAGTAACTCGGGGTGCAGAGTCTGACAAGCAGCACCTCTTATCAAGCTCCCCCACTGGGCTCAATGGGCGTGGTAATAACACATCCTCATTCCCTGTCAGATGTCCTCTGAAAAGCCCTGTGACTGGAAGGAGAGAGCCTGATATGGGTACTGTTGGGATTTCTGGGGGTCCTGGCCTGGAGTGAAGGACAGGTGAACATCTCCTGGGTTTGCAGAGTGGAGGCGCTAACACAGGAAGGACTTGGCTAGGTAGCAGAGTGGTGGGAGAGCGTTGGGACGTCTCCTAGGCAATGTTCTCCCACCAGAACTGAGCCTCTCCTCTGTAGCCATCAGCTCCTCCGGCTCTCTCCTTCCAGTTCTTGCAGCTCTCCATACGGTCATGTGTCAGCATGCCTCTCTGAGCCACTCAGCTTCCTCATTGAGGAGTTATGGGGACAGTGGAGGCATGGAGGGCCGGATAGGGACAGCCAGAGGGCTGGATGTGGCCCCAGGACTGCAATCTGTCCAGGTCTTGTATACAGTGTTCCAAAAACAGGTGAAATGGTAGAAGTGAGCTCTGAGAGGAAGTAGCAGCTAGAACATGAAGGGGACAAGCCAACCTCCCAACAAAGCAGAGAAAGACGACATAGCGCAGCGCTCAAAGTGTTCAATGACACACACGGAAGGAGTTAATAGACCTCAATTCATCCAAGCAGGTGAATGCAGAAAGAAACTCACCAGAAAGGGCTTCAGGGCTGGATTTCTCTGTTCATAGAACAAATACTAGAATGTGCAGATATCAGCAAAAAGCAAATCGATATGAAGCCACAAATCCTAAAGTGCGAGTGTGCAATTCCATGTCCAATATTCACCTCTCCATCTTCTCCAAAGCATGTGCAGAAAAGTCCCCGGGTGTAAAGGAAACACGGCACTCCGGCCCAGCAGTGTGAAATAAAGTAAACAGAAAAAAGTAAATATACAGGGCCAGAGAACTATTTAAAACAAAAGTACAAAGCATATGCATAGTATTATACAAAAAAAAATCTGAAAAATACAAAAATCTGTTTCAAATATACAATGAATAATCATATTAGCTATTATTATCGATAAAACAACATCAATGTTAAGGTTGAGACCACCAGGAACCAATGTGCCCATCTCATAAATCCACTTCATCTCCAACATTGACGCCACCCTCCATTTATTACTGGTCAATCCCAACAAATGTGATATCTTTGGAATTCTTAAAATAACATTCACTAAAATGGGCTGGAAGGGAATGTTCTTTGAACCTTTTTAATATTGTAGAGATGCTCCCTCAGACAGTCCCTCAATCTTCTAGTTGTTCTTCCTATGTATTGTATCTTACATGGACATTCCAGAAGGTAAACTACGTATTGTGTATTACAGGTAATAGAAGAATCAATATGATAACTTATTCCTGTAGTTGATGACAGGAAGGAATCATTTCTACCTAATCTAGCGCCCCCTAGCTTGCAAATCCTACAAGGGAAAAAACCTTTCAAGCTTGAAAATAAAGAAATCTCCATTGTGGGGTCCCCAGTGTTGGGAGATATTTTATTTCTTAAAGAGAATGCTCTATGAAATACCACTTGGGGATCCTTAGATAACAAATTGCATAGAACTTGGTCACTTCCTAATATCCCCCTGTGTTTTTGATGATTCCCCTGATTTGTGCATGTTGAATGGAGACATTTGTGATAAATGGACAAGTCATCTCATTAGATGCATTTCCCTGATTGTATAAAAGTCCCTCCCTATTCATTCCCACTACTAGTTGTATCGTGGCTCTAAGGGTGACCTCATCATACTGCTTCTCTATAGATCTGGGTTTCAAAATATTTTCTGGTGTAAAGTAATCCTCCAAGTTGTTACAATTACGCCTCATCCTTATAAACTGTCCCTTCGGTGTGGTCTTAGGACAAAGGGAACGGTGACGGCTACCAGTGGGATGAAGATGTTCTTATCGGTGGGCTTAATAAAGTTAGTAACAATACCATTCCCATTATTAATCCGAGTTAAATCTAAGAAATTCATCTCCACCTGACTAGAGGTATGGGACAATCTAATATTAGGATTCTTGGTATTTACATCCCCACAAAATGATCCAGGGATTTCATGTCGCCTTGCCATAGGAATAGGACATCTATATACCGCCGGTAGAATACTAATTCCGGCCAATCTCGTGATTAGATGATGTCCTCCACCCACCTGACCATAAACAGGTTTGCCAGGCTGAGTGCAAACATAACACCCATGGCAACTCCCTTAGTTTTGTCTTGGAAATTCGCTTTAACGAATTTCTCCTTACCGTGCAGTACTCGCTTCTCCTTACGACTGCAGCTAAACTACACGATTCCTGCCCATCCAGCTACTTTAGCTTCTGTTGAAATGTGGGGGTGGAGCTCCGTTACCCTAGAATGATCACACGACACTCTAAGGTTGGTGTTGCAATTCACATAAGGGCCGGTTTCAGACTCAGCCCACGGTTTTATTACAAGCAGACACACCCCCCCACATGAATAAAGTCAATCCCCTCCCACCGAACAATGCAATGGGGAGTGCCTATACACAGGATGTACATTCCGATTGGAGCATAGCCTTTCCTATTATCTATCACTGGTCCTCCCCCATGAGCCTTCTGAGGTCAGCAGACTTCCTCCCCTTCCCCTCCATGAGCCTTCTGAGGTCAGCAGACTTCCTCCCCTTCCCCTCCATGAGCCATCTGAGGTCATATTTCCCAGCTCCTAGCAGTATGTCCATTCCCTGTACAAGCATCCCCTAGAAATATCAGTCTGTACCTGGATGGGCCCAATACGATCTTTATTAAAACACATCCATCCAAGATACAGTTCAGGTCGGTAATGGGTTGTAAGATATGCATAAGCCTACACGCGGAGTTCGTACCGCTTGCGCATTGCGTTACGAAGTCCATGTGGTACTATGCTGCTGATATGTGGATACAGGCCCACGGTCTACTGCCAGCGGCATTCGCATCGAATGCCGTGGTGGTATACACACCGGTCTATAAGCGCAGATCTGCCATCTCATCCATTACCGAGCTGAGTACTGTAATACATACATTGTACATGCGCATGGCCCAATTGCAGCCTTCAGATCTTTAATTAAGCCACACGAGAGACATATGAATAACACTCATATATGACACATTTAAAGTTCGACCAACAATACAAAATTTCCATGACAGTTTGCAGATAAAAACTTTGTTGAACCAAAAATAGTGTGTCAGAGCGAAATCCAGCAGCTGGAAAATAAACTTTTTGAAAATCCAGAATGTCTACAGCTTGCCTTAGGTAAAAATCCACTGCCTCCGTCTCATCCCCATGGGTGATATTTCTATATAGAGAGGCAACATCTGCCATCACTAGAAAAGTATGTGGATTGGTCACCTCCTCCTGCAGGTCGATTGGCACCACTTTGGTATCTTTAAGAAAAGCGGGAGTCCCTCCCACTAGGGGCTGCAGGAACAAATCAATCTATTCCACTACTCCTGATGAAAGGGAACCAACTCCACCAATAATGGGCCTTTTTGGGGGTGGGATTGATTATTATGCACCTGGGGCAGATGGTACATAACAGGCACACGTGGAGCCCATGGACATAACAAGTCTCTTCTTTCTTAGTGATCATCCCGTCCTTTTCTTATCATCAAGAATGCTATAAACCTCTTTAATATAATCAACTTCATCCAAAATGACCACCCCGCCCCCCCTTGTCACCCCATCCCCCATCTGCTGGTCTAATAAGCAGATCTATTCTTTCTGGGAGATTTGTAATCCCTGTATGAACTGCAAAAGTATTCCTCTGGGTTTTACCGGATAGAGATTCCACTTCTCTGCTCACCATCCATAAAGGCCATTATGTGGGGATTAGTAGCAGCGGGAGGGTCACACAGAGATGCATTTCTCAAATGTGAAATCTTAAAACTTCCGGGATTTACTGCATTTTTAACAATAGGATTTGGGGCAGAATATTTCTTTAGCACCTCAATACCGGGCACTTTCACCCCCTTCCTGCCCAGAACCATTTTCAGCTTTCATCGCTCTCACACTTTGAACAATTACTCATACATACAACACTGTACCCACATTACATTTTTGTCCTTTTTTCACAAGTAAAGAGCTTTCTTTTGGTGGTGTTTAATCAGCACTGGGTTATTTTTTGTGCTATAAA